TCTTTACGCCACTAGACACTCCCACATGGCAGACCTGGTTCGAGTCCTGGACCTGGTGGCTTGCTTTCTCACTTTTCCTCTCTCTCTCTCTCTCTGTATCTCTCTCTGGTCAAATGAAAAGTAATAAGCAAATGAATAAAATTAAATAAATAATTATTTTTTAAAAAGTGAAAGAAGAAATGGAAAAAGAAAAATAAGGAGTAATAGTAATAATATTACCTATATGTTATAAGGATTAAATTACTTAATAAGAGCTCCATGAATATAGTATATATATATATATATATATATATAAGTATATATATATATATATACACATATATATATATATGTATATATATATATAAAACTATAACTTCTAGGGTTATTAACAGGATAATCCATCTTGAAAGCTCTTTGAACAATGTCTGGCACATGGTAAGCTATCAATAAGTGTTAATTATTTTATTACTTAACAATATGGAGTAACCATATTGTAATGGTTACATCACTGGACTTCCACTTAGTTGACTGTGGTTTGAGTCCCAGACCTGGTGGCTTAAAATCTCACACTGGGAGCCAGCAGGTGGTGTGATGGTTAAGGGCGCTGAACCCCAACATGGTCGACCACAGTTCGAGTCCCAGACATGGTGGCTTGCTTTTTCACTCCCCTCACCTCCAGTTTGTCCTTCTCTGGTCAAATTAAAAATAAATAAAGAAGTAAATTTTAATAAAATAATTCTTTAAAAAAACAACAAACAAACAAACAAAAACACCTCACACTGGGTGCATGTGCATGTGTGCCCAAGGTCTCGAAAGGAGAATGGAGAAGGGATTGCAGCATAGCCATTCCTCCCCTGTGTGTGTCGGGGGGAGGATTTCTTGCTTTCTGTCTCTCTATGTCTCTGGCAAGTATACACACCCTATAGCAAAAATCTCTCAAAAAATAAAAATAAAATAATAATACAGAGTATTGGGTTACTGGAAAAGTCATGTCATATTTTTTCTGTTTTTCTGTGCAACATGTGTCATGATTTTTCTGACAACCCATTAAGAGTCAAGTTAAAGAGGACCTTAAGTATCTGAATAAAGAGTTTAGCCTTGATCACAGAGACTGTGGGTAACTGTAACTGAGTTTTTTAGAAGAACAATGCAAGGGCAGTGTATATTAGGAATTCTGTTTTATTTGTCAGAATGGAATGTCTTACTTGAGAATGGACCAAAGTTTAAATGATCCAAGAAAGCCATAAGGGAATCCTGTTTTAAATCAGACCGACAGAGTCAGGTGTTCTGTGCTTGAAGCCAATTATATGGAGAACTCTGGTGGATTTGGGTGATAGAATGAATTACTTTCATCAATTCAACATTGTATTGGGCTGGGTCCCGATGACCTCCTGGGCTCCTGCTCCAGAGATAGAGATAAGAACAAGAGCAAATGACTGCAGTGCTGTGAGGTTTGTATTGACGGAGGTTTGCACCAGGCGATGGGAACACAGTCAGGATTTTTTGAGTTCCCCAGAAGAGATGACATTTTGGCAAAAAGATGAGGCAAAATCAGGTGGAGGAGCCAGCAAGTGGCATGGTGGTTAAGGCGCTGGACACTCCCACATGGTCGACCACAGTTCGAGTCCTGGACCTGATGACTTGCTTTTTCACATTCCCTCTCTCTCTTTCTGTGTCTTTATCTGGTCGAATTAAAATAAAACGAATGAATAATTAAAATTAAATAAATAATTATTTTTTAAAAAACAGGTGGAGTAGAAAGAAAGGGGGAAAGTGAGGAAGAACATTTCACAGAGAAGGAACAGCCTTTATAAAGATGAAAGCATGTGAATGTGTCAGAAACAGATTCCTAAAGCATAGGTTAATGGGACTCCGTCTGTGGAGGAGTAGAAAAAAATGAGGTGGAAAGGTAGGAAGAGCCACAGGTCTAAGGACTTGTGTGTCTTGCTGAAAAAAAAAAAAAATGGATTTCATTCCTAAGCATCAAGAAGCTGTTAAAGAATTATAAATGGTCGGGAACCAGCAGTTAGCGTAATGGCTATGTTGCTGGACTCCCACGTAGTTGATCGCGGTTCGTGTCCCAGACCCGGTGGCTTGAATCTCATACTGGGCATGTGTGCATGTATGCCTGCCCAGGATCCCGAGAGGAGAATGGAGAAGGGATTGTGGTGTGGCCATCCCCCCTGGGGGAGTGATTTCTCGCTTTCTGTCTCTATGTCCCTTCTCTTTTTCTGGCGAGCGCACACACCCTATAGCGAAAAACCTCTCAAAAAAAAAAAAAAAAAAGAATTATAAATGGTTGTAGGGTAGGTTGTGTCTAATGATCCCATTTGTGTGTAAGCAAGATGGCTCTGACAGCCTTTCAGTCATGGGAGGCAGTCCAAACTAGAAACACTTGGCAGCCTCTCGCAAGTGTCCAGCGAGCAAAAGACGAGGCCTTGGGCTACGTATGAAGTTGGGATCCAGCCGAAAAAGAGAATACTGACAAATAGTATTAGCAGTGGGATAAGTCTTTTTAGAAGAGAAAGATTCCACTTCGAGTCAAAGGAAATTTTTTATTGGGATGATGCAAGTTAAAAGCAGCAGCTCGGTTCTGTGGAAAGAATGCAACACTGGGGTTCAAGAGGCTCTTACAACGTCTCGGGTTCCTAACTAGATCGTGTCTTCCCAAAGTCAGAGATTGTGAATGTTCAGTGTAAACTCAGCAGAAGTAAATAAAATATCTAGACACAAACCAACTTTACCTGTGACATGTTAGCTTTTTCTGTGATATTTTTATTTCAACTCTTGGTTAACTGGTGAGTTTTAGCCAGGAAAAAAAGTCCATGAATTTCTCATTTTCTTATGACTAAAGTCCATTTCAGGTATAAAAATAAACTGGACCTAATACTTACTTAAAATCCCACCCCCTCAGCCCCAGTTAATTCAGTAAGCATAAAGTTTATTTCCTTGTAATTATTTGCTTTAGGTTATGTGCTCACGTGTGCACGCACGCGCGCGCACACACACACACACACACACACACACACACACACTGGCATGCAGTGTGACAAAAGAGTCTTAGGCATGGCATAGCTATTCAAACAGCCATTCTTTCCATCAGCTGTGCTGTGTCCTAGGGACACTGATGAGCCAAACATCGTCCCAGCCTCACAGTGCCACATCTCTTTCTGCCACAACATATCTGGGATAAGACATGCTACCTTCAGTGATAGTATTTTATTAGCAGCGATTTTGTGTGTGTGTGCACATGTCTGTGTGTTTATGTATCTGTGCAGATGGGGGGAGGGAAACCACTTCGGGGGGAAAAATATCAAAATGAAGGGGAGAAGAATTAGAGAAGATTAAATTTACTAAAAGTTCCTCAGAAAAATTACCGTTCTCTGAACTTTTTATAAGTTTATGTAGGATAAATTATTAAAGAGAAGAA